CGAGCTGTCGTGGGCGCCGCGGGCATGTTCGTCGTCCAACCCTCCCCGATGTTAATCGCCGAGCTGGCCTATCCGACGCATCGAGGGAAATACACAAGTGCTTTCTGGACCATGTACTACCTCGGTGCTATTTTGGCCGCATGGACAACGTTTGGGACTCAGAACCACTCGGGGAATTGGAGCTGGAGGATACCGACGATCTTGCAAGCAGGATATCCACTAGTGCAGCTTGCATTCTTTTGGGCGTTGCCCGAATCACCCAGGTATGTATTTGAGCCCTGTACAGACCATCATAGATACTAAAGCGGTAACCAGATGGCTCGTAGCCAAAGAGCGACAAGGTGAAGCGCGGCAAATCCTTGCCCGATACCATTCTGGCGGTGACGAACATAGCCCGTTGGTTACCCGAGAGATGAGCGAGATCGTTTACGCTATCCAACAAGAGAGTGCAGCGAAATCGGTACAATGGAGTGCGCTTGTTGCCACTCCTGGCAATCGAAAGCGACTCTTCCTCGCCGTGTGTGTGGGAGGGTTTGCACAGTGGAATGGCATAGGGGTCGTGTCCTACTATCTCACCCTGGTGTTGAACTCAATCGGCATAACGGATCCATTTATGCAAACGCTCATCAATGGGCTGTTGCAGATCTTCAACTTCGCCGCAGCTGTAAGCGCGGCTCTTTTGGTCGACCGACTGGGACGGCGAACGCTTTTCCTCTGGAGTGGCATCGGCATGCTAATCTCGTACATTGTCTGGACAGCATGCTCGGCGATCAACAACGAGGACAACAACAAGGCGGCCGGATATGTCGTGGTGGTGTGCCTCTTCGTCTTTTATTTCCACTACGACATCGCATACACGCCGCTTTTGATGAGCTATCCGACTGAGATCTTTACCTACAGTCTCCGCTCAAAGGGTATCAGCTGCGAACTGCTCTCCATCTATGTTTCTTTGGTCATTCAAGCGTTCGTCAATCCTGTCGGCATGGAGAATCTGGGCTGGAAGTACTACATAGTCTTCTGCTGTTTGCTGGTGGTCTTCCTTGGGGTCACATACTTCTTCTTCCCAGAGACGAAGGGTCGGAGCTTGGAGGAGATTGCTGAGATCTTTGATGGACCTGGAGCGTCGCCTGATGCAAATCTCGTGGAAAAGGAAGAAAAGTTTGACAAGCAGCATATCGAGGTAGCCGGGGTATGTTAATTGGTAGTTTGTTGTAACCAATAGATTTGGCATGGTGTCTTGGTTCAGACAAAACCGTGCTTCAACCCCATGCAAATTGTGAATCGGAATAGACATTGGATCCGCTCGGTTGTGGCTGTCCTGTGTCATCGACGTCCGGAAGGAAGTCAGACCAGAGTCCCCCCTGCATCAGTACATCAGCCTCAGCATCATTGGCATTCGGCCACATCATGCTGTAGACGTTGTTGATCTGTGTCTGTGGGGACTCCTCGGTAGCATGCTCCAATAGGTCGCCAGCGGGAGTCGCGAGCACGTGTGCATCCTGCCCAGGAATCGCAGATTGCAGGAACGGGCCACAGAGACGTTGAAGTACATTCAGGCAATCCTGAGCACTCGGATTGATTGATGACAGTAGCTGCATAGTGTGCATTGTCCGCCTGATCTGCGCACGCCAACTTGCCGAGGAAGGTGAAGCAGGTTCGTTGCGCAAACACACGCAGGGTATGAGCGAAGCCTGGAACAAGAAGTACAATGCGTACCATGCAGACATCCGCATGGGCGGAGAGCTAGCCCAAAATGTACTGATTGCATCAATGCTCATCTCAGCTTCACGAAGACATCTGGCATATGCTTCTTGCACTGATGCCGGCACAGCATTATCCATGTTTTGCGATCTGGCTTGTAGAACACGGCGAATGACGTACGGTCGATACATGATGATCCTGAAGTTGCTCAGCCGCCACCACATGATAGCATGGCTAGTCGCGAATCGAGCGGGCACGGTCGCTCCACGGCGATACCAATCGGGCACTGATGACTGCCACCTGTCTATTACGGTATCATCAAGACGGATCAGCTCCGCAGCGGCTGGAAAGGGCATCGATATGACCTTCGTGTATATGTCATTCGTCAGAATGTGGAATTTGGACTGCATGATGACGGCACTGAACGTTGTGACGTGGTCCGCCTCGCTCGGAGAAGTGCGTGACAGATTAGTCAAAGCCCTGTCGGGAATGTTCAAGGGCAAATGAACTTCAACGTTCTTGTTGGGCCAGGCCAGAGGGCGACCAAATGTGACAGCTGCGCCAATATTGAAGACAAACATAGACCACCATACGCGCCGGCGGATCTCCATGTTGAGTGGGGAGATATCCCAATGATTGAACTCCTTGTGTAGTCCTAAACCAATGGCCATATGAAGGGCAAGACCAAGATAGTTGTACCCACTGTTTGGCTTGTTCCGTTTCTGCAGATAGTTGGACATGAGCGTGAGGGTTTGGACAAGGGTGATGTTGCCAACCTCCAAGCTCTCAATCGACAGATTGGACTTGGCAGCCATGAACAATCTCCTGTCTGTGTCGTCCGGGCCTGTCGCCGTTGTGAAATGGCCTATCGCAGCGATCATAAAAGCGAGCGCATGCCAGCTACGGCCGTTGGGGCGAGGAATGACCTGGGCGTATTGAGCACGGAAGGTGTGTTCCTCTATGATAGGATACGAGATGTGGTAGAGGCCGAAGTAACCGTTGATAGCGGCATCGAGGTCGACAGCGCCTAGATCAAGGCTATCCCATAGATCTGTGTACAGCCAGTGCCCATTGTCCGGTGTAGTCGTGCTGAAGCTGGACGTGGGTGGCGCTTTCCGCGAAGACTGCTGAGCGTCGGGAAGGAGCAGTCGCAACATGGCAGCACCTGACGCAACGCCTAGATAGCCTGCCTCGCTCTCATCTACAGTGAGCGAAGCCATGCCATCGACGACGCGCTCGTCTTCCCCGGGAGAAGTATGTGTATGTATGCTCCCGGCGTCTGTCTCGGCGGGACCGCTTTCCTGGGACTGTTCATCCCAACTGAAGTCAGCTGGTCCAGAAGGCGGCCCTTCGAGCGAGACTTCGATGGGCGGGTCGTCGGCTGCGTCACGTGTGTCGGCATTGTCTTCGTGGAGGGATGGCGCGTCGTCGCCCTGGGCGGTCTCGAGCTGTCGCAAACGCGCTTCGGCTGCTTGGACGCGTTGTTCTGCGCGGGCGAGTTGAGTCTGTGATCGACGAAGTTGCTCTTCAACTTGGGTGAGGTATTTGCGCGTCAATGGGGTCCTACTGTGTCGTTCGTAGAGACAGTGTCTCCTGTTTCTCTTGCAGGGCCCGCATTCTGGGAGCGTCTTGTCACATCGCGCTTTCCGTCGGCGGCATTCATTGCAGGCTTGGTCGCGGTCGTGGTCCCGGTCATCACGTGCGAGGCTTTCGGTGCTGTTCATATGCGTCTGGTCCACTCATGCTTGAGGGTGATGTTGTGCTGTGTTGGATTGCGACGGATGGAAGTCGCGGGGTTGAGCTCAGGGCTCACTGACTCGGTGACGGCGCCAGAGGCACCCACAGGCGAGTCATGCCAGATGGTCGTCGATATATCGACATCAGACACAAGCTTAATCTGAAGAGCACATACATCAGGTCGGGGTCTTTCACTTTCACTTTCACTGTCTTCCATTCTAGCCGTAAAAGTCACGCTAGTCATTTTTTTTCAAATGTTGGAAACTGACATCACCCCCAACTTACTGACACGACACCCGCCATGAGCCATTCTTTACCGCCCGCACCCATGGACTTCCGCTTCCTTGATCTACCCGCCGACATCAGGCTCATGGTTTACGAGTTCCTACCGACATGCCTTACGCACAAGGAGATCACCATCGAGACGGACAATGAGAGCGGACTTCTTAAGACGAAAACCACGAAAGTCAAGCTCATTAACATGTGGTATCCTACCACTGTACGCCTTATCTCCAAAATCATCCGAGAAGAAGCTACACCAATCATTGCGCGCACTGCGGCGAAGCGCAATAGCGCACTAGTAGTCGACGGCTTTTCCAAGGTGTCGCGATCGGGCCCTAAACTCATTGTCCTATGTGGAGATCTGGAAGTCATTGCGCGCAAGCAAGGACCTCTTGAGGCAGCTGAGGAGTTTCTGACCTGTTTTTTGGAGGCGCGCAGGACAGGATCTAGCTGCGTGACCGCTAGGCCCGAGAGTTCAGCTTCGGATCCAAATAGCTCGGCTATAATCAACTGGGCGCGTCAAGCTGGTTGGCATTTATCTCAAATGCGACCAAGAGCCAGAGCGATTGACATTGCCATTGACGCCGTGCATGTACTGTCGATGGGCCGTCAAGAAACCGTTGCTTCCTTGCTTCGATTTGAGGATGCAGCTGAGCGACCGTATCTGGCTCAACGACGCGACATCCGATTTAGAGTGTGTACAGCGCCTCTAATGTTTGCAGCTCATTCCGTGTCGCAGTATGTTCCATTGCGCGGCCCCTCTCCAGGTGGTAAATTCGGTTACTTTGTCGAGCACTTTGACCTTGAGTACGGAGAATGGATCGAAGCTTGGGTTCCGCAAGACTGCGTTTAGCAGGTCAAGGTATGTTTGTGCCGCGTAGTAGCTCTGTGGAATGAGGCTGACACAAGGTGCAGACAGGATATTCTGATTCTCTCTTACGTTCTAGTATCGCTATGTTAACCGACAAGCTTGAGGATGTAGCATAAATGTGATAGGATGTGGGATGACGCAGAACCTTTACTAGAGACTGTGCGCGTGTCAGTAGAGAGGAATATTGCTCAGCCACGCTGATTTGAAAGGGCAAAAGAATGAGCTGGACTTCAGATCAACATCTTGATGAGAATGACATGTATTGTAAACTGAGCAAGTAGGAGTAACTCAAAGTAGGGACGAAGAACGAAATAAACCCAACGATGCGATGCCGTGTTCCAAGCCAAAAGAGAATCTTCATCAGCGTAAATGCTGTCTGAGAAAGCGTAAACTCAAAGTAGGAGACTGACTAGTAGAAGAAAGTATCAAGAGACGTGTCAACGTTGCTTCCACAATCACCGGTTTTGATATACCGATACTTGTTCCACTCTTCTTCCTCAGGAACGCCACCATTCACCATGTAGTAATGGTACTCTATCGTTGTCAACGCGGGTACATCAATCTGCGCAGAGTAGTTGGCGGATTTGGATGCAATGCTACCCGTTCGCGTCAACATTCTGGCGTCCTTCGTCTTGCCATTGCCAAGCTCTGGGACATCACCAACAACGAATAACACGTTGGTAGATTCCGAGCGTACATGGAAAGTCACACGAGCGTGACAGTAACATTGAGACGACTCGAAGGTGTTGTTTAGCGGCTCGCCCCAACTGGGCCCTCTTACACCCGAGCGACGATTTGCGGCTGTGTAAAAGGCAGCATGTGACCATGTGAAATCGGATGGGTAAATTGTCTGGCCATTGTTTCTGTCGAATTGAGCTGGGAGTCGTCCATCTGGGGGAGTGTATTTTCGTACGACAGCCATATAGCTATCAGCATGGTCGAATACGGTAAAGAGGATCGCCTTGAAGTCGTTTTTGGATCGAGCGGTGTAGAAAGGACCATAGCCATAAGTACCGACACGGATCCCGGGTAATAGGTTTTGAAAGAAGGGCAGCGAGGTTTCATCGACAGTTATTTGTCCTTGGTCCAGCCACTGATCACAAGCTAAATACAGCTGTTCTGCCGCCGCGAGTGTGGTCAGGAACCATGGGTTACCACCGTGATCATCATCCTCAAGATATCTTCCAACCGCAACCCCTCGGTTTTGGGCAACGCCACTGCTGATGCCGTATAACGAGCGGAAAGCGTCAGTTACTGTTTTATGATTGACTAGAGCTCTAGAAGAGCATGGTTGAAAGGTACTGTCTGTGCACCCGGCCTGAGGATCGTACGTGTGAACAGAAGACAGGATAGTGCTTGCGTCAATGCCGCTTGGTTGACCCTTGTCGTTGAAATTTGCGTGCATGTAGTTGGTATCCCAGAACGTCTCCATGAAACACAGTATTTGTGGTGCGGCAGAAGCACAGCCGTCGCAGCGTCGATCCAAAGTCTTTGCCAGAGCCATGCCTTCGACAAGAGCGCGATGGGATGCTGAAAGGGTAAAGAAGGATGAGCCGTTTGTTTCTTCCCACAGATCGAAGCTGGTGTGGTTCCAGTACCGTGCAGTGTGTCTGAGATCATTCATGATGATCGGCCAAATCTCGAATTTGACTCTACTCAGATAGTACAAGGGGTATTTGGTCCCTTCTTCGGCTGCAAGCAGATGTTTGGCGTATATGATCAAAGCTGTAGCACGAAGTGCGGGACCATCTTGTTGAGGGCGATTCCACGCACCCGTGAAAGCAGTGCCGTTCGGGTAGAATTTGGGCTCACCAAGACCTCCAGACCAGGGACCACCAGAAGGGTTTGACATTAACTGTAGCATGTCTTGAGATTTCACATAATCGTCTATGTGATCCGAAATCTTTGGCTTGTCTGTCACGGATAGGCGTTCGATGAGAACTTTGAAGGTCAATGCAGCGGTCCTGGTCCACGTATACAAGTCTTTATCGTTAGCTTTCAATCGATCATTGTGGGTTCGAGGCATGTACAATTTGGATCTGACCGACTGGCAACTACCAGGCCATCGACGATGTTGTCCAGCATCCCTTGCAGCGAGATCTTCTGTTGAGCTTTGATGAAATCCTCCAGTGAACTCTCCCGCTGCTGGTGATCGATCGAATTGCCGTTCGCATTGACGAGGAGCGACGTGGCCGAAAGCACACAAAGCAGGAAAGCGGCCTTCATGTTGACCGTTGCAGTAGTAACAACACCACGGAGAAGAATGGTTCGTGCTGATGTTTTCCTAACAATTCCGATTCGTTATCGATGGCAGCGTTGAGATGTATGAGTGGGATGTTTCGGTGTGATGCGTCAACAAACAAGTCCAGCCTGCGGATGGCATCGACGCTCTCTGCGACAGCCTTTGCATCATTCATGCTTGCCAGGTCAGCCGTCGCTGTAGGCAAGAGCTGGGGAGTATGAGCCATCACTGCCATCGCGCCTCATAGTCGTGGAAGCCGCAGTGGGACACCATCAACGCGGGATTGAGCGAGCCAGTGTCGAAGACATTACTGCTGTAATGCGAAATGCCTTCGCCTTCATTTGAGTCTCGACGATGAGCAAGGGAAGAGTTATAGTGTGTTGAGATGAGTGGTGCTGGGGTGAAAGACGCGAAGGTTCGTGTCCAAGGTAGCTCGTGTCTTCGCTCCGACCAATGACGTCAGGTCATGGCGTTGACGCGTCTGCGTCGCGCGTGCCTTACTATCAACCTCTCCCACACCTTTACCAGCTACTCGACTGCGCAATTCGATACTGACACTCTTCCAGCCTCCATTAGACAGCTTTGGTTTCAGACAATGCATGTGGCAGCCGTGGAGATGTGTCGATCGTCCAGCGCGACACTCAACCTCTGCTTGACCATGTTTCATTGGTAACGGAGGCTGCATATAAACCAGCACTTCAACTTCTTTCAACAGCATCGAGGTGATACCGATGCGCAAACTATCCGTGGATATTCACATTGCCTTGACCACCACGTTCTGGTCACGGCAAAGACCCTGAGCGCACTAGGTGTGGCTACGCATCTACAGAAAATCATCAAGGTAGAAGTATGCAACATCCTAGCATCTAGTTATACAGTTTTGAAGGCACGTACACGACACGAATTCTAGTCATGTCTCGTAACTCCGCGTTCGGAGAGCAATGCAATAGTTTGGAACACACGTCGTTACCAGAATCCACCTCTCGACCCTGAAACCAACACTGTGGAACGAAAATGCCTCTGCTCGCTTGTACTGGTGAAAGACGATTTAATCACACTGTCTCACTCATCATTCATCACAAACTCCGCGTTCTTCTAATGGGACAGATAATCACTCGCCTCAAACCAGACCACAGAGTCCCACCTGGACAACATCAGCTACCACACCAACATATCCTACAGCCCGCGCATCCCAGCACAACCATGGGCCCAACAGAACCACCTCCCTCGCTCCCCTCGCCAGGAAAATCCACATCCTCACCGCCGTCCACCTCCATACCGCCAAAGCCCTTCCCCCTCCTCTCCCTCCCCAAAGAACTCCGACAAAAGATATTCACCCACCTCGTCCCCAGAACCCAACACCACACCATTCCCCTAAAATCCGGCCCACACCACCTCACCCTAGTAACCACAACAATCCCGGGCATCTCCCTCCTCGCCACAAACCACCAAATCCGTACCGAAGCATCCTACATCCTCTCCCCCCACCTCTCCTCCATAAAAAACTCCGCCCCCACAATAATAATCCATGCAGAACATATGCTGGGGGTGATAAACCTACACGACTCCTTCCGTTTCCAACGCACATTCTGGACCTTCCTGTTCCACCGCATAGAACCGCGGAATCGCGCTTTCACCACCCGCTCCATCCTCCACTACCGACAAGACAAAATCACGTCCTTGCAGCTAGCCAAGAAGCTCAAGATGTGGACCCTCACCACCTCCCCAGACCCAGATCTACGCGTTTTAGAAGCAGTAACAACATCCATCCTCCGCATCCTCACCTACCTCCCCACCGCAACACCCCCACCAACCCTGCACACCTACCCACCCCTCACCATCCTAATCGACATACCCGTCTCCTTCACCGGCGGCCCCATCACAGCAACCACCTCCCTCCCCCGCAGTATCGCGTATCGGATATTCTTCCCGCGTCATCCTTATCTGGCTCGCTCCCGGCCTGGCCACACGGACCTATCTTGGTTGCTGCAACGCATGGTGTGTCATGCGTGCTGGGCGTTTGCGTGCCGCCGCGCGACGACGGTGTGCTTGAGTATCAAGGTGAGGTTTTTGGACGGGGAAGGCGAGGTGTTAAGGGGTTGGGCTGGGGGCGCGGAGGGGTGGGGGATGAGGGAGGCTGTGGTGCATAAGAGTGTGCTTAAGGGGGTGAAGAGTGCGGGGATGAGGGGGAGGGGGGTTGTTTATTATGGGGGGTTGGGGCTGGGGCATTTGGTTTGAGGTGCACGGGCAGGATAGGATGGCGGGGAGGGGGTCACTTCGATGTTTCGGTCAGTGTGGAGAGATTGCTGGATTGATGGTTTTAAAGGAGATCCAAACTTGCATAATTAGGATGGGTATACGAACAGCCCAATCTACGTACGATTATTGCAATCTCAATCATAGTACAAAGCCGCCGGTTGTAACTACCTTCCAGCCACGCACGGGATGCGTATCTTCCAATTCTACACACCACCAGAGTACCTCTTTTGTCTTGTCGATTTGCCCACTCTCCTCGTAGGCTCTCGCCATCGCATACCATGCTTCAGAATAGTCCCAACCGGCACCAAGCTTGGTAAGTGTGGACAGTAAACCGAATGCGCGGTCGCGGGCCGCAAGGCGGGTCAGTGTCGGTGATGAGAGCTGGTTCTCTACCGACGGCGTGTGAGAGGTTAGGTATTGGGTCTTCGATGTTGACGTCTTTGTATGAATTGAAGAGGCCGATGACTGTAGCGGAGGGGAGATGGTGTCGGTGTTGGCAGGCTCCAGCGGTATGACCTCGCTGTAGACATCCAAAAGGATGTTTGAAAGACCGACGATGGCTTCAGGATGGTCTGGGAAGTGTTGTAGGGCGCGCTCAAAGTCTGCGCGAGCTTCATGCTTCATCGATTGGGCCACAAGCTGTTCTGCGCGCTGGAGCTATGTCAGTAGAGGTAAGATCGAAGATATTGGGAGACTTACAGCAGCGAAAACATCCGCCCACAACTCCTCCACACTCTTACCTCCACCCCACCCCTTGTCCGCGAGCGCCTTTGCTGTTGAGTGTTCCAATGAAACTTCTGCTTCAAACGTCTCGACTAGCTTCAATGCCTCAGCAACAGCTTCCCTAGCATCCTGGAACATGTGCGCTCTTGCATATAATCCAGAGATGAAGATCCATATGCTGACCAGCAACGAGACTTTCTGACGACGCTCTTGGATCTTAGAAAAGTGGGGATCCGCGGGTATGTAGTCAGCATGTGGCAGACGCGAAGGCAAGCGAGTATCCTGTCTGGGTGGTTGTTCTTCGTGACCCAAAGGCGGAGAGGAGTGATCTAGGTTATGGGCGACGGGTGGAAGTGGTGTGTCACCCTTTTCTATTGACTTTCCTGGAGAGCTGGGATTGGAAATGCGTCGAGGCGATTTTGAGTTTGCAGTGTTACTGCGTGCACGAGTGCTGTTTGGAACGTGTTCTGGAAGCGGTGGTACCTCTGGAACGGTGTCTTTGCCGGCCTGACCATCATCCTGCTTGTGGTGGTGGAACAGATGGTGTCGATGATGACCGTTAGTGGGAGCTGCGCCGTTGTCATCAGTGACTTGAATCGCAGGAGGCACTTCCGGTTGTGTCGTAGCTGTCTTGGAGCTGACCACAGATTTACTTCGATCAACATTTTCTTGCTGAGTCGTTCTGACTGACCCTCGTCCGCGGAAGATACTACCTCGTGTGCCCGAGGCGGTCTTTGGAGGCGCCAGCGACGCAGGTTCGGGTGGAGTCTTGACTTTGTCAGCTGCCGGATCGCCGAACAGTCGACCGTACAGTGCAAGGAGCTCGTCACATCCGTCAACCGCAGCGGTGGCACCATCGGTGATCTCGAGAAGCGACAGCTGCGTCATCTTGATCTGCAGTATGTTGCTCTTTTCGAAACGTTCCATGCGATCGACAATACCAGATTCTAGAGGTTCTTGACCAGCAGCCTCTTGGAGGTGTTCGCTTCTGAATGCGCCTGAGTCGCGGCCAAACAGGACCGCAGGATCGCCGAATTGCTCGAAAGCCGCCTCGCACGCCTTCTCAGCAGCGGTGAACTCAGATCGTGACGTCAAAAGCAGGGCAAGAAGATGCCACACGGGTATCAACTTGCGTTCGCGTCCATATTCAGTGGTGATGCCATCCGACAGAACTCCGTCTACACTGACCGTCGTGCCCTTTGTTGCTGGAGAAAGTGCACGCTTGGCGATTTTGATGGCACCGGGGATGTCCCTTGTTTCCGCGAGAACCAAAGCGAGGGCGTACAGAGCTTCCACATTATGTTCGTCACCGAGATTAGGTGAAAGCGACTTCCTGAGGTACTGCACAGCTTTGGCCTGGATCGTGGCCCGTGCCTCAACCTCGTAAGTGAGCCGTGCCCAGTGTGCTTGACTGATGCCAATGGCGCAATAGGCGGCAGCTAGGGCCGTGGGTTCGACGAAAGATGTGCTCGAAGCAATTGAGCGGGTATCAGACGTTGAGCGAAGGTGATCTGCCTGCTCTAACCAGTGCTCGATACTGTGAGCAATCTCGAGAGCCTTTTCGGCGTCATGCCTAGATCCCCATCGACAGAGCATCCTGATGGCCTCGGCGGAGGTCCTCAACACCGTGCTGTCGTCGTCAATGCCAGCCTCGAGTTCGCCTGACTTTTCCGATCGATCCTTGTTCCGCGTGATGATCTCGACATAGGAATCGTAGGCTTTGTATGCCAGTTCAGGCTCGGCTAGAGATGCGTGGACAACGAAGAGGTTGCGCAGGATCTGGGTCGAGTGGTACGTCTTGGTGGCTGCTCGATAAAGGATCTGGATGATATTAGTCATTGGATCTTCTCGGGGTAGATGAGTAACTTACATCAAGCACGCCTCGCGCGACACCCTCTTTCCCTCCTTCGCCTAGATCATCGTCGCTCCAGGTGGGACCGCAGAGGAGGCGCCAGTTGTCCATGACGGAATCCACCCACGTTTCGACTTCATGGTTGGTCTCGCTGGCTTTGGGAAAGTGTGTCTCTCGTATCAACAGGTTCTCGTAGACAGCCTCGACTCGTTTCAGCTCCGCCCGCTGCCGTAATCGCGCGTCTGACTGTGCGGTAGGCGTCGGCTTCTCTTGGATGATGGGTGTGGAATCGGGCTCGTAGGCGAGGTCATAGCGGAGGATCGTTGATAGCGAGTCGTAGTAGGCCTTCCACGCCAATCTTCGATACCGTGCTGAGTTACCCACGTCTGATGCGGCGTTCTTGGAAGTTGCGTCCCAGAACTTTGCCCAGTAGCGGTAGGTGCGCAGAGCTTCAGACGCGTTGATTCGCTCGCTGAGGCCCATGGACTGGTCGGACAGCTGACAGAGACGGACGAGAGACTGTTCTCCCCACATCTTGAACTGGGCCGATTCGGTGTTTGGGGTGGTCGTCGTGGACAGCCAGGGTATTATTGACGAGTAGATCGTGGCTGCCTCACCAATCGCACCTGTCTTCTCCAGCGCGGAGCCTAAATCAGGTCAGTCCCCGAGTCAGAATAGAGTTGCAGAATTATGCTGTACCCTTGAGATATGTGCCCTTGACCAGACACACCCGAGACCAGCCGCTCAAGGTGCCTGCTTCGCCCGATAGCTGGGTCGCGACTGCCCCAAAGTCCTGTGGAAGTCGCGCAACTGCCAGTCCCGGCTCGTCCAGCACGTAATGGGCCCAGCCGAGGCAGACGTTGGCCTGGAAAGCGTCTTGACCCTGCGTGCCATCTTCTTCAATCGTAGCGAGCAACGAGGGTATGATCTGTGACAGGCCGGTGGTGGAGGCGGCAGAGGAGGCGGTCGAGGGCCTCTTGGTGCTGTGTGCGGCTATCTGGGCGTCGGAGCGCGCTGTGAGGGTGAGGCCTTGGGTCGCCGTTAGCCCTCAGAAAGACCAAACAGAGAGGTTTGCTGACATCGTCGGTGCGGCGCATGCTTCTCGACCTTGCGACACAGCTCAGGCACGTCGGCCCATCGTCCGGCGCATCGAGCCTCGTCCAGCTGCTGTATGTAGCGCTTGGCCTTTTCGCTCTCAGGGGGGGTCTGTAGGTCCTGTAAGCTACCGTTGTTGAAGATGACGTTGCTTCGGCGCCAGGGGAGAGGGAGGACAGCAACCTCGACATACCACCATGGTGCTAAGAATATGCCTTTAGCTCTGGACAGGGTCGCGATGTCTGTAGAATCATGTTCGACGAGCAATACTGAATGCGACGACGCCGGCCATGGCTGTACACATGTCACTGACCGACTGCACAAGTCCCACTCTTCTGTGCAGTTGGCCCGCACATCCCTGCAGCTCTAGCGCGTGCGGTCCGACGCTAACTCCGGACCTTGAACTTTTTTCTACCAGCCATCGACAACAGCCATTCCGCTGACCAGAGACGGGCTGATCAAATCAATAACCAGAGGAATCGCCAGCACCATGGCGCCCATTGCTTCCGAACTGGCGACGCTGCGAGCGCTCAGTTTCCGCATCTCGTCCACGCCAACATCCCAGCTGCCCCAACACGTGCCTGCCATAGCTGCGTCATTAGCCAATTGCAGGGCCCTCCTCTCTTCGGCCCAGGCCTCAGGTACCAAAGCGACGTCCTCGGAAGCATCCGTCGCTATACACAAGTACCGCACTCTACTCACCACTCTGCTCCAAGACCGGACTCCCCAAGGAAGATGGTGTGCCATAGTCTTGATCAAGGCCACGATTGAAGTTGGGGGTTGGGAAACTCTGCAGAAGAGTTTGACATGGGTGCGTGGCCTTCTTGGATTCCTGAACAAGCCGGATTCGCCGTCGTCAAAGAAGCTCTGCATCATCACCTTGACGCGCATCTTCCTTCTGACCAGAGAGTACCCGACATTGATTCGCGAGATCACTACTCCGTCGCTATCACCTTTCGTCCAAGTCTGTCTACAGATAGCGAATGCCAAAGCTACCCCCGTCAGTCTGCTACAGATCGTCCTAGAAAGCTTCAACGAGCTGCTGCCCCGGCATCCTACCATCTTCCGGTCTTATCTAAAGCAACTTTACCCGCTTCTTGGACGTCTCATCGCACCCACGCCATCTGATAAACTCAGCCAAGAGCAGCGGCCTGGAGCCAGTCATGGGGCTTGCTCGGATATCGCAGCTGCGGCGCGCCAACTCTACGTCCAATTACCTTGCTGTGCACCAAAAGGAGCTTCGAGCGAAGAGTGGACAAAGGCTGTCAAGAACATCACAAACGTTACCCATCAGACAACAGACCGTGTGTTCCGCGCTGTGATCGAGGACTGGCAATCGACGGCACGTGAAGCAGCTCTTTCGAACGGTCACACACTGGATGACGAAGTTCAAAACCTGGAGCCTGGCTCAGATCTGTCCGCCTGGTCGGGAATGTTTGCTGGTGGCGAACGCTTGACAGGGCTGCTCTACATCATCAAGGAGTACATCGCAAGCCCCACAGCCAATACGGTGTATCTCAACGTTGGCATGATCGTGGACCTGCTCTCGAGAATGCTTTCCCTCACCATTCCCGTGGCAGCGAGCAAGAACTTCCAGAACACCGTACGTCTAAACGCCCAAGTCAGCAAGGACGAGCGTGAAAGCCTTTGGTTATTGTTGCCAGACGTACATGTCGCCGCGATTGAAGTGCTCCTTGCTTTAGCACACAGGTCCCAGAGCAGCACCTTGGCACTGGACCCTGCCATCATTGACCAACTTGTGTGGGTATTTAGTGCGGAAAAAGAGACAGCTCAGATTAGAACAGCATGCTACACGGCGATTGCTGCTTTATTGAGGAGATCTGGAGTTGCTCTCCACAAGACCACCATCGATTCCCTCGTACCTCTCATCCGCGCTTGCTGCGACGATCTACTACCGCCCGAGACCGCGGCGCCTACAAACCAGCAGACTCCCGGCCAGGCCAAGGCCAATGGCAACAGTCAGCCCCAGACCACTGCCAACGCCGACAGTTTCCTTGGCGCTGCGAAGAACGCCGGCGGCCCCAACGCTGGATTCCCTGGACTCCAACAAGCCGCACACGATCTGCTTCCGGTTCTACTTTCAAGCATCCCGGCTCAATATCTATCTGACTCAATGCGCGCTCGTCTGGACCGTACCGCGATTCTCACACAGCACAAGGAAGCCATGGTAGCTAGTGTGTTGAACCCACCACCAAGCAAGAAGTTTGGAAAGCCCGCAGCGAGCATACTACCACTCATGGCCCGATCATTTTCCGCCGAGATGGATGTAGAGGGTATGCTCAGACCAAGGATGCCAGTCATTCGCCTGGGTGGCAAGGATTTGGAGTTGAATGATGGCAACGATGAAGACGAAGAGATGGAGGTTGAGGATGAAGGAGTTGAAGAAGAAGAAGAAGAAGAGCAGCAAGCTCTGGAGCAGGCGGATGACCACTTCGCTGGACAAGAGTTGGACAATCTGTTGGAGACTGCTGGGCAATCAGATACGGCAGCGAAGGACTTTGCTATGGAAGACGCGCCAACACCCAGCAAACCTGACCTCTCAACTCCACGATCAGTTCGTAAGGGTACGCTTGCGCAACGCCCTACCATCCCCGAGCCTACCGCATTCAGCGAAACCAAGCGGCCGATAGGCGAAGATGGTCCTCTTTCGCCTTCGAAGCGAGCAAAGACTGGCGCAGACGAGCAACGCACGTCACACCCAATACCTCCTGCGCCAACAGCATCTGTATCCTTCAGAAAATCTACTCCCACTACGGAGGTAGCCGCTACGTCAGATTTCGCCGCTACCAGCACCGCCTCGGCTGTCCCTGACCTTCCCGAGCCAGGTGAAGGAGACCTCGACGACGAGGACAGTGACGATGACAAGATATCGCTTGTACTTGGAGTCGACACGGACGATGAGTCTGATTAGTGCTTGTGTGGAGACTGTAGTTGTATAGTCGCCTTGGCTTGCGCAGAATGTAGTGAAGTAGTAATAACAAGCGCAGTCCCTGCACGGACATATAGTTCGACCTCGCAGTGACCGGTGAAATCCTCATACTAGTCTCTACGGCCCGCGCCTTTCCCAATACCCTCCACCGCGACGCCCTCGTCTCCGTAGCCACAACACCGCCCACCGCCCGCCAACCCACCCGCAACAATGACACAACCCCCCCAACGCGCCCCAGCCAAACACACCGTCCCCAAGATCTCCGCCCCCAAACCACCCGCAGCCCCATCTGCCAAGCAACCCGCAAAGCCCAAGAAAGAAAAGCGATACCCCTTCGACTCGCACCAAGACGACATCGTAGTCAACACCACTGAACTCGATACCGCTCCCGGCTTCAGGAGAGGTATAGTGGACTACCGGCATAAACTCACGCTGAAGAAGACGTATGCGCATATCACGACGGACTATGCGGAGGATATGAAGATGACTATTCCGAAGGATGCGGTTACGCCGCTTGGGTCTGAGACATTTGGGGATGGGGATGGGGATGGGGATGACGATGAAGATGGAGACGAGGATGAGATGACCAGCGCCAACGCCAACAACCCCAAGTCCAAGCGCGACGAACGTACCTACGTGCCCGAAGTCAGCGACACGATCATCGACTACACCAAGCTGCCCAGACCGCGATGCAACCGCCCTAACTACGTGGAATATATCTACCGCGCTACAACCACCAACCCCGCTGTCTTCCTCGCTATCCTGCGTGTCGCAGAGAGGAATCTGCCGTTTATAAATTTCGACTCGGCGATTACGCATTTACCCAATTTACTGGCGAATGCGAGGCTTCCTGGTATACCGGCCCTCTTAGCTCTGTCGCTCGATCCAACCAAACCCTCCAAACCCTCCGCACCGTCCGAATCCCAAAACCAGCCGGGGAAAAAGAAAGCCAACCAGCCCGCTTTCACCGAAGACACACCCCACGAGAAGAAAGAGGCAGATATACCGATGACAATCCTCTTCCTACCGAACCTATACGAAGACGGGCGCCACGCGCTCGGGTACTACGCCCTCGCTCCTGAAGCAGACCCAGACACTAAACAACTTAACCCCGAAGACGTTGTGCAAATCCTCTTTACGCCGTGCGGCATAGCCGATTTGGTGGAAGCGAGATTACTGGAGTGGACGCCTATTGATCCTGATCTTAAAGCACGGGCTGATGAGAAGAAGGGTAAGAAGGGTGAGGAGATGAAAGGGGGGGATGGCGAGGGGGCTGGGGATGGGAAGGAGGGGGATACTGGCCATGTTGGAGACGAAGAAGAAGAGTTGACTGTTGAGTACATAGAGCATGTGGCTGCGAGGGGAGGAGAGTGGTTAGAGAGGGATGTAGTGGGGGATTGGGAGGAGTGGTGTAGGAGTTTTAGGGTTGCGAGGAGGGTTTGGGAGAAGGTGCTTAAGGGGGTTGTGGAAGTTAGGGAGGTGGAGGATGTGAAGGAGGAGGTTGTGGAATGAGGCTGGGATGTGTGGTTGTGGTGATTGGGCGAGCTGATGATGATTTGCATTTTCAGAAGGAGCTTTGGCGTTCACACTCCGCTGAGCAGTAGAGTTCTTCGAAGATGCGACTTCTTGTTAAGTCGCGATACGCGTACGTGTATGATGTGGTGATCAGTAGTACATATCGTATGAGCAGAATGTGAGATGGACTTCGTTGTACGATAAGCTTAATTCAATTGTGTAGCTATATGTCAATCATGTTCATTGGACGCCTTGATCTTTCTCTCTTTCCTTTCCTCTTTCGCAGGTGGTTCTTGATCTCGTTGGCGATGCGGTAGCCGTAGTGGCCCATCACCCACCCCTACAAGTGACGGTACTTGCTTCGCCCACATGTCTCGTATCCGCGTCGGAGGAGCACTTGACTCCTTGTTGTTCTTTAGCGTCACGAGCTTTGCATCGATGTTCAACTCAAAGCGACTTCTTCCAATGAATATCTCCCTAGAAACGGAAATCCAGGCCTTGAGACGAGCCGTTTCAATAACGCCGAGCAGGACGTTTTCTGACTCGTACAGCTGTTCAAGTGGGGTGGTCATGCAAGCATCTCTTGACTCAAACTCTAGGTCGACATCGGGAACTGTCCGTTCTTGTATCATACCATAGTCTCCGGGTTGTAGGTTTGCTGAGATGCTGCATTGAAGTATTCCGGGATGGTGCTGATTCCAGTCAACGCAAAACCGTCCAGCGTGTGTACTGGAGAATTCTATACTGCCGAGGCGGGATGTAGCGTCGGGCAGGTGCCCTGCGAGTAGAGGTGGTAATGAAGTGATCTGAAACTCCAGTTCGTGGAGGATGGGAGATATGTTGACGCGTATGGGGGCTTTCGCATGGCGCTGCTTTTGGTTGGTGGCCTTCTCGCCGACGAGGGTGATTCGAGCTCGCTTCATGTTGCTTGGATTGTATCGTAGTCTCTGGGGTAGCCACATTACTGCAATAATCAGCTGCTTTCTTCTAAGCATACGGGTTTCCAGGGTACGTACGTTCTTCGTCGTCCAGCTGGCGGCCGGTTATCAGTACAGCCTCCATGGGATGCTTTGACCCCAGCCGGAAAAGAGTGACATCATCAGGACTCCGACGGAATATCAACTTCTTCCTATGTACAGATGACAATGCTATGGCCGGTCTCATGTACGGATCTCCGTCTATCGAACAGTCCAAGATGCCAAGGTAATCATTGTGAAACATATAGATATTGTTTTCTTCCAGCGGACATATGAGCATCTCGATAGATAGTGTGGTCCCAGATAGACTCGTGTGCGTACCGCGAGTCGGCATGTGCATGTTCAGTATCTCATCGCGGAAAAACGTAGGGTGTGGTGCTAGTAACGGCGATTGTCCGGCAACTAGATCCCCTAATAGATCCGACCGGAAAGCCAATATGGAATGATCTGACGATATGCCAAGGATAGCTTTTTGTAGTCGGTAGAAAGCTTTCTTCCCTTCGCCGTATAACAGGGGCATGTTCACGTCGAATAGCCCCATCAGACAGTAGGCGATGTCTTCTTCTCGCGTCGTCTTTCGTTTGGAAGCCCATCTCATCCTTTGCGCCACGCTGAATCCGTCCAGCATCGATCGCACATCGTCTTCTTCAGTGCTTGTGCAACAATGACATTCGCTTTCTGTGATCATCTTCCTGGAATTTGAGGTGTTGTCAATTTCACCTGTAAACCTCATGACCAAATGACCCTTCTCCGTCGGTATTTGGAAGCTCTTCTGTCCACGATGTCTTCGCAACAATACCGATGCGTGGATGCCACTACTTTCCGACAGCTGTGCCGCAAGAGATATACGACTCCCAAGGAAATCCCAGTTCATATCATAGAAGTGCACGCGATCTGGGGCAATCATCTCCTGTAGTGTCCACCCTCGAGTGAGCCAGCGACATTCGGACAGCGAGCATTGATCTCCAGATTTGACATCGGAGATATATGCGTAGCAGATAACGGCATCGCGGTACCATCGAAACATTGAGTTGATAGCTTCCGAAAGCTCTGTGCTGCTGTCCTTGTTGATGTTGCATGTATCGATCCAGACGAAGTCGCATCCATCTTCCAAGGCCTGTTCGCATGTCTTCCCTATTTTGAAGTAGCCTTTCTTAGCACTCCATTTGGCCCTGGAAGTGTCACGCATGTCTTCAAAGCGCACCTCCCCGTCCCCCCATGTGTGCGATAAGATCGCGTACTTCGGCTTGATCGCGCCCAATACATCGTGGAATTCGTACGTCCTGGCGTTCAAAAGTCTCATGGGGGTCGTGATCTGATTGCGCCGCGCTTGTGCTACCTTGGGGGCGAAGAAAGTGGGGCTTCAGCTTGATCGAGTCCTGCCGTAGAGCGACCCTGTAAAAGCAAATGGTGATGTAAGAGTGTCTGCGAAGTCTGGGGGTAATGCCGAGGGTTTCGTCTGAACAGTATATCATTAATGCGAGGCCTGTGAATTAGACCAGATGCATGTAGTGGCGTGAAGACATGCTCGCTTCAGCTGCGCCCCTCACACGCATCCTGGAACGATCGCATGCAGATGACCTGCGAGGTTAGCGCCATGCAGACTCAACGAATCTTAGTGCCTGGCGTCATTGGGCAGGCACTCAGTCCTCTTCGATGAAGTGCGGGTGAAAAAAGATCCGTCCACGATTGTCGCATAGAATCTTTGGATGGATCGCGAGATCACGTGTGTAGAAAAAAAGGCCAATGCGATATTGAGGCAGCACAGCACATTGACTCAAAATTAGAAGACAAATGTGGCGTCGAATTCGGGGATGGTTGGGATGCAAGCAAACACGCAGAAGGAAGAGCATCGTGGAGGTTCGGAAGCTTCGGTGCTGGTGAGTTGCCGCTGCCGTGCGCGCGACGCGCAACGCTAGTCTCGTTTGGTGTGCCTAGCGCGACGCGCGCACGCGTTTTTGGGCGGCGGACACCTGGGCACCTACCCAGGCACAGTACTCACATTCCTGCACGACATCTCTCACACGAACCGCGCTTCTCCTGCTACAATGATGACTTGTGGACAGCTACAACATGCCCGGGTGTTCTCTATAACCAGTGGCAATGAAGGTGCATCCTGCCCTGGTGGCGTCGACTCTTCAAGGGACATCTGAACGCCATTCTGATGGTTTTCCCACCCTAATGTACACCTCCGGCGATCATCAGGAAGCAACAGCAGACCGCAGTCCGAGTCAAAAGCGCGTTTTCTTGTTTATCAAGCATCTTGGCGTCACATCGACCTCATCGGTTCTCGTCTTCAAGAATGATTGTATATATCTTGCTGGCTATCTTCATGTGCTTCTGGCATGATGTCGGCGGATTTTCAAATACCGAGTTTATCATACCGTTCTGGAAAGTTAAAGTGATGACATTGGGACAAGAGAAAGCAGAAATGGGAGGTGTAATACACACGAGACCCTTTCACTCTGTACTTACTACAGCTGCCAAGATCTGAACCGAATTCCCACCGCTGCACTCAACGTGGGCGGAAGCGTAGATTCCGGGTTCATTACCGCCTTTGGATCTGTCTTCCCTTGATTTCCTCGATGCATTCCACATCACTACACTCAATAAATTTCCCCCATTGGAACAAAGTGCATTCGGACGAGGACGATACACTAGAGCCACGATGTTGCTTATGATACTCTTTATCCTCTTTGCCTGGTGCGCCGTCGCGGTACTTCCTGTCTCTTTATCTTTCCTAACGTCGAAGCTAGCGCTCCCAACGGAGGCATGGGTTGGTTCGGCGATTCGTTGGTAATCCCACAACCTTTCCATCGTCAAGATAATAACACCCCTAGGTTTGGCGCCGACAAGAGCGGTCGCTGGCCGAAACACCCCGGTAACAGCGGCAAGACCGAAATCGCGTACTGCTACGAAAACAAGGCTGCCAAAGATGAGCTGGAAGGAGTAATAGCAGAGGGCTGGGGAGCGTGGCAGCGTTCTCTTGGTCGCTGGGGCAAGGAGAGCGGCCATTCACTGCTCTTTATACGGCGCCTTGTTCCTGGCCAAGACATCTACTGCTACCCGGCGAATGGCGATTGGAATCAGCTATTCCCAGCAGATACCGTCGTCATCAAGCGTGGTGCTCCAGGGGGTTGGGCAGCAGCGTCTTCTTTGGGATATAGGGCTGAAGGTTCACCTGGTCGTCATCAATTGAGTATCGGCAACGCGGAACAAGCACCGAACAGAGATCTGGCCTGGGGTAAGTTGAGAAGCGATTTTCGATTGTTCAGATCCGCTGACAGTTAGACAGTCGTAGCTCACGAGCTAGGTACAACTATTTCTCCTCCATAAGTATACAAGCGGTAACTAATCGTATCGTTCAGGCCACATCTTCGGCTTGATGCACGAGCACTCACGCGGAGACCGCGACGACCACGTCCAGTTCAACTGCGCCAGTCTCACAGGCTACCACGAAGCTCTCCAAAAGGCCACTGCCGACGGCTTTACCATAAACGAACTCTGTAACATCTTTAATGTTGCGAAGCACTACCAATTCGACGCTTCAGAGTACTACAAGTGGACGAACGACGGCTTGGCATACAGCGCGGAGTATGATTACGATTCAATCATGCACTACAGCTCATGGCAGAGCCACAACCCTGCTCTTGTTAATCAGGATCAGAACAACCCCGATAATTACCCTTTGGTTCGACTCACCGGTGGAAAGAATGGTCAGAAGTCGCTCCTTCCGCTGCCACGTCCGAGTGGGGAGTGGGGGATTTCTAGGCTGGATAAAGAGGCTATCAAACTGTTGTATCCGTGGGAGTAATCGGCCTTCCCGCACTGGACCAGTGATCTTTATGATACCGACGCACTGACGGCCATCATCGCTTTTGGATCGCTCGATCATTCTATTCCCACGACCGCGAATAGCTAGATAAAGACTTAGACGGGAGGTGTCCAAGAAAACTACTAAGTACACTTGGAAAGCTGCACTTGCTGTAGCCCAACTTTGAGCTCAAACTTCGTGTCTCACCATACGCTCCAGTCTCAGTCTTCGCCAGTGACGCGTTCAACCAGCAATACCTATATCATGCGTCGTAGGCAAACCATATGTTAGTCATGATCTGGCGTATTGAACTCAGAAATTGCAGTTCGTAGACAATCTTACACTTAACTTTGCCTAGGTAGTGAAAGAGCCTCCACCTAGGGTTCAAAAAGCGTTTGCCCGACAAGTCCAAAGCGCACAGACCAAGAAGTGGTGTCCCTAGTCGTTCATCGCGGGGCTAGCAGAACTATTGCAAAGACCTATACTTCTCTTATTCTCTTTCCCTTGCACCAGCGTTGTTTCCGCCGCGCTGACACCGCACTCAGTGCATTGGCCCACATCACCTTCGCTGCCTACCCAGGGACCTGCATCGACTATACATACTACTAGCCTCAACCCACCAGAAGCTCTACCACCGACAAATCCCAGAATCTACCTTCAGGAACTTAACTCAGCGCCCAGCCATGCTGCTCCTACTTCTTCTCTTCGCCTTCTTTGGGATCGTCTTTGCTGGGTTCGTCATCCATAATTCGATCTTGTGAACAACCTCGACACTTGCTAACTCTTGCAGACACCCTGTAATAGCGGAATCGAGGTGGCGTCGTGATGAATATACGGCAATGTTCACAATCTATTGGTGCTTCGAGAATGATCTCGCAGAGACAAAGATTACTGTGCAACGCATGGATCAGGCATGGCTCGTTTGGACCTCAGTCATGGGAACGGCTTCTCAAGAATCCGGGCACGCCTTGGAATTCAAACGCTGGAAGCATCCAATCAACAACAACTATCCCCATTGTTACGATGCCAACAACCAATGGACTAAGGGTATGCCTCGCGCGGCAGTGCGTATAAAACATGATCCTGCATTGGTGGGTGGGGCACATGCTCCGGCTGGTTACCAAGGCAGAGAAACGGGCGCACATTATCTAACCCAGGGGCCCGTGGATACACCGGGGCGAGAGCATCCGAACCCGGTCTGGCAGATAGCACACGAGCTGGGTCATGTGTTTGGCCTTCTTCACGAGCACCAACGACCGGATCGAGATATTTACGTTCAGTTCAGGCCTCAGCACCTCAACGGATTTGCAGCAGCTTGGCAGGCTGCTCAAGCCAACCACGTCACCTTTCAGCAACTGACGGAAGTGGATGGTGTCGGTGAACGATTCGGATGGGGCTTAGTCCGCTCATATCGAAGGATTGCAGCCGCTCCAGATTACCATTCGACCTACGACTACGCTTCCATCATGCACTACGATTCGATAGCGGGATTGCCGACGGTCAATTATCAGATTCCATATTCAACAACAGATCCTAACTCGTACCCATTGGCTCAAATAGGCATGGCAAATGCTCAAGGCGTAGCACCGCTCTTCCTTTTGCCCTTAAAGGGTCAGGTACCTGGGTTAGCTTACCATATTTCTCAGGGCGACGCTGCGGCCATCAAGTTTATGTATCCTCACTATTAATAGTGTCCGGTTGGCGGACGTTAAAATTTAGAGGCTTAGAAGTGGTTTCACTGCAACCCTGGTCGTCACGTTGCTGAACGAGGGCTTGCAGAGATGAATCAGTGTCAACAATATTTACCTATGATACCTGCACTCGCTACTCAGTGAACGTGAAGTTTACATTAGAGCGTGTCTTTCACTAGCCGTTGCCCCACTTTCGCTTGCCACAGCATTAACTACGACTATCACTGCTGTACTCGACACTCTCTAGCAGTTACCTCGAAGCCGCGCGCACTCACTTCCAAGGTCGACTCTACATCGAAACATGCATTCTCTTTCCCTTCTCCTTGCCTTTCTTGGACTCGTATGTGCGATCTCGGCGGAACTTCCCGATCCCTCGCCCGAACCCATCGACATCGCTCCGCCACTGGACACCGGCGGCCATGCTGGGTACGTCATGCGGATACTAAAGGCCTATCAGTTATTGACATCCCCAGGTTCCCCGTCGAAGATGCTCAAGGGCTTCGTTGGCCCCGGCGTCCGGATCGAAAGGTCTTGATTCACTGGTGCTTCAAAGACGCAGTCGCCGAGAACAGAATCGGTAAAACAATCGAGAATGCTTGGGCGACTTGGACACGCGGTATCGGATCTGCGGGAGCAGCGAACGGCCACAACCTCCATTTCGAACGCTGGAAATCACCCAAAGAGCTTTCCTACCCGTACTGCTACATGTTGCCGAACGTATGGGACCCACAGATACCGGAGGCAGCTGTGCAAGTGTACTGGATGGAAAATAGTCTCACGGTTGGCGCTGCGTCCGCTTCGACTGGCTACATAGCTAATGGCCCTCCCGGTCGACATAACCTTATGATATCTGGACAAGCGACAGACCGGGAAAAGGACTTCGCTGCAACACATGAGATGGGTCACGTTTTTGGCCTCCGCCACGAGCACGAGCGCTCCGACCGAGATCAGTTCAAATGACGCCATCTATGGAGCGGACCCTACAAACCCCTCGTTGTACCCGATGTACACAGTGGATGCGGCGGGCGCGACCAAATTCTTAAAACTCAGAGGCCACCACCCGTTCCCACTATTCATGGTATCCGCCGGGGACGTCTCGATGATACGTGCTATGTATCCGTTCTAGAAGGTGTCCGCGGCTGCTAGAGCGGATGGATATGACCTTATTCATCGTCGGTGGCGACAGGGTGGCCTGGACTATCAGTTGAGGCAGCGAGTAGATAGACATGATGATTCTTGAACGCAGTATCACACACGGACCTGGCCGCATCAAATACTCCAAGCGCTTCATCCTCCCCAATCATCAGTCTTGGCTACTCTCCACCCCCCGCAAACTCCTCCGTAAACCTCCTAGCCTGCTCATCAAAAACATCCTTCCTCTCCACATACTCCCTCCCCATACTCGGATAATACGCATCCTCCGCATCCGGACTATCCAAAAAAGATCGCAGACTCAACAATATTTTCGAAATCGTCAAAACAGGACACCAATCTTGTTGCAAGATGTTGATACATATATACCCATTGTCGCTATCGATGTTTGGGTGATAAACATGGGTGGTGAATGTTATAGTGGGTGGGTGGATCGGGTAATCCTCCGGAAACTCCACGGCGAGGTGGAAGGTGCCGGACTCGTAGGGTGTTTCTGGGGGGCCGCGGATTGTGGCGCGCCATGAGAAGAGGTTTGATGGGTCGATTGGATGGGCTGTGCAGCCTTCTATGGGGTCGTCGCGCAGGGATTGGTATTCTTTTTGGATGCGTTTGGTTGTATGTGGGTGTGCGGGCATCTTGGAATGCGATTTTACAAGACTGGTTTGCGTAAAGTTGGGGCAAACTCTGTGCGTTGTTTGGGAAATGGTGAGGATGAAGTGTAGCGGGTGGCGAGGGATGGTGTGGCTGATTTAGGCAGCAGCCAAGTGCTACGCCAATCAATTCTGTTAATTCCTCGGCTGGTCTTTCTGAAAGCACCTTATCGACCCAGCCATCACTATATGTTATCATACTCACTACACAGCTTCATCAACATAAGAGGGGCAACGTCAGGCTTTTGTGGGCTTTATTACGTCGCAATAGTTGAATCCGACAGTGCTGCTTTCTCCACACCGGTGGAGGACATGAGAGCAAACGCGCAAATTCTGAATGTCGCCAAACTCTGGCCCGAGAGGTGAAATGTCATTTCTTCCATGTGCTTCTCAGAAAACTATGAATACATTGAAGTTCTCTTTTGATCTCATGAAAAACTACTTCAAAAGGTTTGTAATACGGCGAAAAGCTAGGGAAAGACTTCATATACCCACAGCCCAGTGCAGGACAGCAACGCCATACGTACTAGCTGCGTTTCTTTTTTGAGAATCCAACCTAAGAGAGCAAAGATTTCATGCTTTCATTGTCGTGCGCTTTTGTTTCCACAGCCGCACTTCCGAGGAACATAGCTAGCGAATATGATAGTTTTGGAAGAAACATAAGATCTTTTGGACGTCTTTTGAGTTCCCAGTCCTTCATAATGGGAGAAGATGGGAGACTCTCAGGTCCGAGAAGGAGTGTTTATATATCAACTATAGAGGTGTACACGACGCGTAGTCGTCTATCGTGCTGTACTAAGATTTAGTGAAGCAAAGGATGAAAAAAACGACCGTTGCAGCAGACATGTAACCGTTAGCTGCACTCTTGTGCAGGCCTAGAGACATGTGTTCGTATAGCTAGTCTTTCTTCTTTTCCCACATGCAATTACTGGCACTTTTTGAACACGCTCTTCGCAAAAACGATATGCAGGGTGGAGAGATCCCAAATGCAGTCATGCGTTTGTACAATGCTCTTTTTTTTTGAGTACAGGGGAGCCGCGACGGCAGCTTTATAAACACAGTCAACTCGCTGCTGTTTCATACATATGTAGCAAATCCATTTCGCTCAGGCAGAGCATTGATAGAGTCTCATACCTCCAGCCTCCCATACGAGATGACATCCTCGATTTTTGGAAGCCCGGAGAAACGAGATCATTTCATAGTAAGTTGAAGCTTTGAGAGGTCGGACCAAGCCATGATTGAAGTTGAACATGGTTCTCGAAGGTGCTGCACAGAACATGGGCCAAACGGAACTTGGTTTTGAGAAACAAAAGTCCCACAAAGCATAATTCGTGGCCCTTGTTGTTTTGGTATATCTGTACGAGGAAGGCACAATGGAGAAAGAAGACTCTGATCGCGAGAGAAGGTATTTATATAGCCACCACCGGCCGCCAGATCCTAGATCCAAAAAGACGTGTTTTGGCCCTATGGTAAGTCGCGAGGTGTTCCAAAAGCTGACGTGATGAGTTTTGATGGGTCAAATAAGTATCCAGGACTGCTCAAAACATGTAGATGTGCCTGGCGTTTTTTTTCGCAGAAGAGGTTGAATACGACAAGGACGCCAATGTAGGCCAGCAACGCCATTCTTCTCTTCTTGTCCTACTTCGTTTTGGTAGCTCAAAGACATGTATTTTCCTGCGCTTCCTTTTGCTCACAGCGAGGAGACACACAATTATTCAGCCATCGTTGTTTTTGGACTGAACGACACGGCACATGCGAGTTTTGTTGATGAATTTTGGTGGAAATTTTGGAGTCGGGCGTGTACTCAGCACATAAACACAGTGTCGGTGAGTTTTGAAAGAGGTTCGAATTTCTGTGGTGATGATACGAAGTGCCGGAACGGAGACGTAGCTATGTTTTGTAGTGGTCTTCGGGAGAAACAGTCATCGTGAGTCTTCCAGCTTCTTTTGGAAAGACCAGCGACAGCACATAGTTGACTTTGCATCCGTTTTTGGAAAATAGAAGATTGGTGAAGTTGATGAAGCAATGATGGGGCGCGCTGAGGGCAGGTTTATATAGGCACTAGAAGACCAAATATTGCACGTGATGTCAGATTTCATGAGAGAGTAGCGAAGACATATCGAACAAAAGTGGCATACACCAGAATTCATGAGAATTTGGAGACCGTAGGTAATGTGACTTTATCGTTTTAGGGCAGCGCGCTTGCGTACAAAGGTGCTATAGGAATATTGATACGTCAAGACCTGCAATCCGAGCTCGAGTCCCAGGCACGCTTCTAGGAAACTGGAGCCTCCTGTTTTCGACAATTAGCTGGGCATCGACGCAGAACTGGGGGTTTACTTACCGCTTTCAACACCTCAAAGACATTCTCGGTCTCCAGGACTACAGGCTTGGGCTGCACACCATCCGCCCACTTCCTCTCCCACTCAACAGCGCCCTGGGTACCATTCACGCCATTCACAGGCCCGCCATCGCCCTTGTGCGACGATACACCACCATGTGCGTGCCCAGCACCGCCATTAGAGCCGTTCGCAGCATTTCCACCACCCAACCTCCTTCGGTCACTGCTGCTCTCCGAAGATGTCTGATCGCTTTGTAGATATCCCGATCTACCGCCTGTTAACTTGTACAACTTATCGCCAACGGGAGTGCCACGCTGAAGCTCCTCACCCTCATTGAACCTGCGTAGGATGATGTAGCCCACGAAGCCCCAGATGAAGATGAAGGTCGCTGAGCAGCTGGCGATGATGACGGTGGGGACGACGAAGAGGAGCGCGAAGCCGACGAGGAAGAAGGTGATGGCGATTGAGACGAGGAGGCCGAGGAAGAGGCAGGTTGATAGGGAGACGAGGAGGGTTGTTGTTGCGAAGGCGAGGAAGAGGGCCAGCGGGAGACCGGTCAATGCGGTTTGGGTGGTCAGGAAGGCCTGGAAAGTGTCATTGATGGGAGTCTTCAGACGCTATCGAACAACTTACGGCTACTTTGGGGTTCTCGTGAGCGTAGTCACGGGCTCTCTCAAGCATGTGCTCGCGCTGCTTGGGTGGCAGGACCTGGTTGGTGGTGGTCTCGATCTGGTCACCGACTCTTCGCGTGGTGTAATGGATCTTGTTTCCAAGGTTGTCGACCATGTCGCCAGCTGTCTGGAGGACGGTGGGCATGGTGAGGTTGGTGAAATAGGTGCGCTTGGTAGCAGTACAGGAGTCAATGAATCAATGGACGGTGATGATGGGTGAAGGAAGACGAAGGATGGAGATGGAGTTTGATTGTTTACTGTCTTAGGGCGACTGCATTGACTAGATACAAGGGACTCAATAGAGGGAAGCTCCGTGTGTGCCGTGGCCGCACTTGCGATGCGGATGCGGAAGTCTGGAACGCGTCAGTCGCGTGGACGTCATCGCGGATGCGCTAGGGCGGCTCGGGGTTAGCGCAGCTATCACCCCGGTCGCTCGGCTATGCCTGCTAGCTGACCGCCCAAAGTTCTGCCAATTCGCGATCGAACTTTTTGACACAACGCGACCCATGCTGCCATATCGGAACCGCAACGCCGACATGAGTGAAAAGAAGAGAAAGAGACAGGAGCAGAATGGCGAACGGCCAAAGAAGAAGACAGCTGTTGCGCCGACGGGAAATGTCCGTGTCAAGATGGTAGAGAATAAAGAGACACTGGGGCCACTTCTAGGTATGATAGCACCTCTTCAGGCTGTCGCATTGCGTCAAAATTCATCGCAAATGACGGGAGACCTTGGCATGATGTATGGATATGTTTTCTAACGCGCTCAAGCTGTCACACCCGGTCTCACCATCCCATCGAAGATATCCTTCAACCCGTACAAGCGCACCAAGATCCGACCACAAGGCGAGGAAACCGAAATGCTGTTCCAATCATCCGGCCACCCTCGCTTGGATTACATCGCACAGGAAGAGCATGACGGAAGCGCCGAGAGCCAGCTACAAGACTACATTGGCGTATTCGACCCTGCGACGAGCAAGCTACAAATCGTCCCAGTCAAGAGAGTTGTCGTACGAAGCACACTGCGAAGCGAAGCACAAGAAATGCGCGAAGAGCAAGAGGCATTGGACGCGGCACAAAACACTGTCATGGCGAAGAGAGCTGCACTCGCGGCAGAGTTCGGATCTAAGAAGTCGAGGAAGGCGCTTGAAGACCGGACGCTCAACGCCATCAAGAGCGGAACTGGTGCCGAGGACGCAGCCAGGACCGATGCAGTTGCAGAAAACGTTCTGCAGCAAATGGCCTCTGCGACAGCAGTCATGCCGAACAAGGACGATCTCGCAGCAGCCGTGGACAGCTCCAAGCCTCGCCCGACACCCAACCTTGCAGCTGAATACCCCGCCGATGTTTACCCTACGGATGTTGTGATTGGAAGCGATCTCATGACCATGCTCGATGTCCAGGACTGGGTTCAAAAATCATCAGTCGGCGAAGGAGTCAGCGTGGCCAGCAAATACGTTGCTAAGCGCATCGTAAAGCTCGCCAAGAACAAACAGATACAGAAGCTGAAGGCCCTGCGATTCATACTGCTTTGCATCAACTTCAACTCGGCGTTGATTGGAGGAGGTGGACCTCGGCCGAAGAAGATTCCCATGAAAGGGAAGTTGGAGGAAGCGATGGGTGAGGACACGCCTGCGGGTCAACTCATGGCCATCAGGAGGAAGTTTGCTCCCGAGGGGTAAGTCTATCAATGATTATTCCATGAAGGCTCGCTAACCTGTGCAGTTCCTTTGAGATGTCCCGCTGGCACGTCGATAACCTCATGACACACATTGCAGCGGCAGCACTCACAGTCGACGACTACGAAGTCGACGTGAACGACCTGCGAGAAGATCTGAAACTCGAGAACAAGGAGTACGTTCCCCAAGAACCACTCGACCTGACCCATGCTAACGCCACACAGGATCAAGCAATACTTCGCCGAACTCGGATGCAAGCTCAACGCCCCAACCCAAACCGACCTCACACGCATGAAGCTCACCAAAGCCGAAACCGCCAACCACTTCATCGCAAAGCTTAAGCTCCCATTGTCGTTCCCCAAAGTAGGCGGAGCACGAGCAAAAAGACGCACCTAGCCATGACGCGCATGTAATTACCGCCTAGATCCATACAGTTGTCCTCGGCACCAACCCAGCAATGATACCAGACCAGCAAGCATGCATGAAATCACATTCCACCTCCCCAAACCCATTACGTCCATGTCCAACCGTGCGGGTACCTTTAACATGTAGATCACGCGTGGAGGTACATGACAGCTGCATAACGCCATAGTCGGCCCAAGTAGCAAATCACAACCACGACCACCAGATCTCCACCCCACTTTCTGGCATGCGAAAGGTAGAATCGAGATCCACGGAAGCTACTCACTAGATACATCATCGACTTTGTCCGAATCGCGTATTTCTGCAATTGCGCTCCCACCACTTCCATATCATCATGACATCACCATCGTCACTTGCAACTCTGTGACGTACTCTTCGTGCATCCCCCATAAGCACGACCACTACCTTTCATATAAGAAACCCATTCTTTCTCACCACTGATTACCTATCAACAAACTTCAAATCATCAACTAAATGCCCAAATCCACCGGTCCCCTCCAAGAACAACTCGGCCTCGGCACAGCGAACCAATCCACACCCAACATGTCCGGAAACATGACCGACAACACTACAGCCGCGGCTGACAAGCTGGGCGCAAACAAGGGCACAAATGCAATTCCACAGTCAAACCCTAGTGTGATTAGCAGTGCGGGTGCTATTGGAAAGAACTGTATGTTGCTCTCTACCATCTTCATATATTTTGTAAAGAAACACATCGCTAACGCAATTGTGTATAGTCAACCCCGACGGCGCAATCGGCCAAATCGGCGAGAAAGTCGGTGGCCCATTTAGCAAGGACGGCGTAATTGGAAGCCAGTTCGACGCGAGCAAGAACGGAATCGCAGGGCATGTTGAGAGGGCTGTTGATGGACCGAGCAATCCAGCTGGGAGCTCGAAGTAAAACGAATTCATGACACGTAGAGGGAGGAATTGTATTATAGCCAAGAGGCATTGGACGAAATGATCGAATACTGTCATGATAAATGTCACCACGTGTTTCCTCCCAGTCCAGGTGATTCTGAATTACTTGAACGAATCGTTGTAGATGAACACTGATCGCCCGGAATTACTGGGCGTGGCAGGAAACAAGTTGTACAGGTGTTTAAACCTCGTCCATCAAGATAATACAGTCAGGTGCCAAAGCTTCTTTCCCACCGATCAAGCTATTTCCTGATTCGCTGAGCTAGTTGGCAGCATCGTTGCAGATGTTCCGAACTAGCTCAGCGGATCAAGAAATAGCTGGATCGGCGGGAAGAAATTGTGAAGATGTTTAGATCTCGTGTATCAAGACAGTGCAATCAAGTGCCAAAGCTCCAAATCCCACAATACCCAGCCTCAATGTGCAAACGCACGCGACATTTTCAGCCGCATACGTCTATTCCCCCAGTCTCCTCCCGGGACCCATTCCACCCCAAGCATTGCCTGTCGCCCTCGCCGCACTAGGCTGCGCAGCGCCTCCCCGTCCCTGCACAACATGCCCATATCCTCTGTTCTGCACGCTGCCCGGCGCAGCACCGAACCAGCGCTTCACCATCTCAGGTGTGCGAATGTAGTTTTTGCCACCGCCAAACGTAGGCCAGATCCTTGTCAGGAAGTCGTACAAGTGTGCGGCGAGGAGACCCATAAGCTGTCCGAGAGCGGCATCGGGACCGTCCATGACGAAGGCCATGAAGAGCATTGCGAAGGGCAGGTATTTGCTTTCGAAGGTGATGACGAAGAAGGATACGGAGCGGGTAGGATTATCTTGGGCGAACGTGTATGCGTAGGCGAGGGACAGCGACGGGAGGAAGGTGTATTGGTTTAGGATGCCACCTGCTGTTGCCTTTGCGCGGACTGTTAGCACAAGTCCATCCACAGCACACCGATATCAAGACGAGAAGATGCAGGTGAACAAAGCGGAACGAATCGCGAAAGTATGTAGGGAGCCAACACCGCCTTGCGAAATGGAGAGCATTCGCAAAGCTTTCTCAAGTGACAATCCCACCATGCCTACACACCACACAAGTCCCTTTATATGATTGCGAATGACGGAACCGCATGATGTGCAAGGGTATTCTTCCTCCGTTCCAGGAACCGCTTCAGCTAGGAATAACAGGCTGGGCGGGCAGATATGCGGAGGTGATTTTGACCGAAGTCGAGAGGTCGCAGACAGTTGTGTCGATGCGATGGAAGCTATGTACGCGCGTGTGCAGTGGGTACTTACGACAATGACGCTACCGAGGAACAAAGTGTACACGAAGAAGTCGCCTGGATCCTTGAAGCGAGGCGACTCCCGCTCGATGGAGCTGCCGTACTGGTATAGAAAGTAGGGGTCTAGCAGGATGCCGAACTTCGGTTTCGTAATCAGAAACGCTGTGAAGAGTCGCCAGAGCTGCGGGAGCATCGACACCGTGAAGACATATTGGCTGACGAAGATGTAGTGGTACAGGCTGAGAAGTCCGCTGTAGCCTGCAGCCGATACAACGACTGCTGCAGCTGTGATAGTCCTGTAGGGGTTGTTAGCGATTGTGCGACGTGTTGTTTGCGCGTAGCTGGGAGGGAGGTGAGAGCTGCTGACTGCGGTTGCCGAGCTCCTTGGAAGAGAGAAGCTTACCTAGAGACGGGCGGGAGCGTCCAAAAGACATCCATCGTTACGCGGAGCTATAGCCGTTGTATACGTGAAGTCGTAAAGTCGTGAGGTGTCGTGAACGAGGACCAGCTGGTGCTGCCTGGAGAAAGAGGAGCAGGCGAATTCGCAAGGTGGCTTAAAAGGCCGCGGCGTGGGTGGGGGCGCTATGCCCTTTCGCGCTCCACCACGTCATTGGCTGCCGGAGCTCTCCAGGGCTGGCTGCAGGAACACCGGATGGAAGCTTCACCTTCTAGAAACACAGCCATGATTGTCCTTTCATTATTACTTTACAATATCAAGTCAACAATGCAATCTCGCAGTGCATTGTTCCAGATCCATTTCACGATGGAGTGCAGCATTCCGCTCGTCATAACACGCCTGACAAGCCTTGTGATGAATATTATCCCATAGCACACCCTTTACAGCTACGAGACGGGCCTGCTTCTGCTGCTTGCACAAGCTACACACGAACTCCGTTACTTGCTCAAAGCGGAGCAGTATCCAACTCGTACGAAGTGCATACTGATGCGTAATTGTGCCGGACAAACCCCACGTGTCCGCTGTACGTAGGGTCGGGGGGTAAGTGTCGTCGGAGATATTTAGCAGGGTTTTGAATGCGGTAGGCATTCTAGGTGTATGTGTGTGTAGTTGGGATGCAGGGCGGATGTTGAGTGTGACACAAGGAGAGATGGAGAAGAATGATTCATATAGCGAGAAGCAGAAATACTTGTTTGCTATCCTCACCCGCACAAACACCAAACCTTCATTCCTGCAGATTCGCCCAATCATCCCGCACCTTAATTCCCCTTCCCGTTTGGTCCATGCACATCACTCTCAGCTCCCACCCCCGGCGTTCCCCTCTCCTCATAAGAATCCTCGTACCGCCTCCAGATCTCCATATCCCGGGCTACCCGCTTGTGGTGTCTGACGCGGTGTTGGTAGTTGATCATTCGCTTGTCGGCTTCCAGGTACCCGCCGAGTATCATGCCTGACATTTGTATGTATCTGGGTTGGGTTAGTGGGGTGGTTGATTGGATAGGATGAAAGAGGGAAAGAAGAAACATACGTCTTGAACTGAACAGTAAGGCCCTTGTATACAGGCGAAAAGGCATATGCGACACCGCCTGCCACGGCGAAGAAAGCACCCCACTGCGTTTTGAAGTCAGCCATCATACTACAAACCCATGTCACCCACGTTCTTCAACCCAATCCCGATCTTCCTCGTTCCTCTTCCACGAATCGCATGATTATTGCCAATCCACGGAAGAGCCAGTTCAATACAGACATGTACCAGCATACATGATAATGCGACGCACGCGACACCCTTCTCTTTTTACACAGCATCCCTAGCAAAACTCATGATCCAGAGTTACTCGTCAAATGCTAATACAACAGCGCGAAGAAAGAAAAAAAGCATACCTTCGTCCCCCCAATCGCCGCCCCCTTCGCCGCCTCCCAAGCCGCCTGATTCGTCTCGTCGTCCTTTGTCAAACTACCATGTTGTCGCACCATGATAGCGATTGCGTGCGCACGTGAATCCACAGAATCCACAACCTTAAGTAATCATCTGAGAGAGGTATAAAAGACAGGCCTTCTAGTCAATTGCGAAGGCCGGATATGAATGTGATTGATGATGTAGTTCGTTGAATCGGATTGGATGGTTCTGTGGAATTGGGAAAGGTCGCGGGTCGCAAGTCGCGAACGGAAAGAAGCACTTGGGAGGTGATGTCAGCCTACATTTTCGGCTGAAGCTCGGACGTGTGAGCTTGTTTAGTGGGGGTGGCATGTGGGGTACTGCAGATGTGCATTTCAGCTCACGATCGAGAACGCGTGTTCACCGCATTCGCAACTCCAACTTGCTACCCAAATAGTCATCTGAAAGTAACAAAAAAATCCTCGAACATCTTTGTTTATTCGCTTATCTATGGTATCACAGAACCTCCCCCCTTCCAACTCCCAACCGTTATCCAACTTTGATATGCATATTCCCTCGCCGCCATCATATTGTTGCATGCTGTTCAGAACAGAAAGAAATAAGAAGAAGAGGAGAAACAAAAACGCCGAATGAACCCCCCTTATCTTTGAGGGTCGCGTATGCAAAAGACCAAACGCGCTTTCTATATGTACATGGATGGGTGGACTCTCGCTCATTCGTGATCAAGAGGAGACCTGAAATGCAGAGAGAAGATATCCAGAATGGGAGGATGGGAGGATGGGAGGAGACGCGGGCGGGCTTCCACAGTCCTCATAGGCATCAATCACCTCGTCGGAAACGGAAAAGCCCTCCTATTCTCCCCAAAGCTCATCTCGAGCTCCTTCTCCAACGGCGTAACATCATAATCCACAACCTCGCTCCTCGGCGTCCCCGTACCCGGTGTATGCAATTCCGGAAGATAAAACTCGGGGGTATAAACACCCAGCTGGGGAACATCCTTCTCACCACTTGGCTTCGACTTCGGGCTATACATTTCCATTCCCATTCCTAGCTGGACGTCTTTCTCCCGTGTAGGCGTGCTTTCAATGGTGACTTTTTCGAGGATCTTGCCGAGGCTGTTTGCGGTGTCGGGCCGCTCAAAGTCTTCTTCGTCGACGTCCATGGCGGTGGGGATGCCGTGGGCGATGTTGTGGTTGCGTTGGAGGTATTGTTGTAGTCTGTATTCTTGGCGCGCCCAACTCTCGTCGACGAGGCCGAGCGCGGCTTTGATGTCTTGGTCCGAAAGGCCCATGGGGTAGTTTGGTTCTTTGGAGGACTTGCCGCTGACGACGCGGTTGGTGAGGCGGCTGCGGACGGAGCTGGATTTGGAGGACGTGGGGAGGGAGACGTCGTCGCGCATGGATTTTACTTGGTCTTCGGTTTGCTTGAGGGCCATTTGTCGCGATTCTTGCATCGTGGGGAGGAAGAGGAGGGTGGTGTTGCGGTGGAGGGCGTTGACGAGGTCGGTGAAGCCGGTTAGGGCTATGCCGTTGTCTTCGCAGTAGAGGTATTGGAGGGTCGTGTTTACTTTGAGCACGTCGGCGAGAGTGCTGGCGCCTTGTACGCCTAGCTTTTGGTCTGCTGCGGTTAGTCGTTTGTCACTTAGTATGGACGTATGTAAACTTACATCGGATGTACAAGGCGCGCAGGGTTTTGTTGCGCTGCAACCCCCGTAGTGCTCGGTTGATACCAACACCTAGCTTGGTTGTCTCTAGCCGGGAGTCTTCACCGGAAATGTCAAGCCATTCAAGACTGGTGTTATCAGCAAACATCTTCTCCATCGCCTGGCAAGTCTCTTCGGAGGCATCGCATGGTAAGGATGCTCGTGAGATATCAAGCTGCCGAATCGTGTTATTGGCGGCCAGCGCAAGTATCATCTTGCGGAAGTCGGCGTCCTCTTCGAACTCTAACAGGCGGAGGGTGAAGTTGGATGGGGCGAGACCTTTAGAGATCGCCTTGGTCAACTTATCCAGGTCTTCTTCGATGTTGTTCTCACTGACATCCAAATGTAACTCGCGAGCTTTTCCAGGATGCTCGGTCATTGAGTGCAAGAGGTAAGCAATATCACTTCCAGTCAAAAAGCAATGATCCAATCGTAGTTCACGGAGAGCTGACGATTGTTTGTAGTTGACAAGATAACTACGCGGTGGTTAGCAGGGATGGCAGCATGTTAAGTATGTAGAACTAACCCAGCTATTGCATCGACCATGGCGGAGTTGAGCGAGGTGCCGCTCAGTATCAACTCTTGTAATCTCCAGCCAGCAAAGGTTTCGACCGATATCAGCGACTCAAGGCCCGACGAGCGCGCAACATGCGAGAGGTTAAGTCTGGTGAGGTATCCAAAAACGCCAATTTGAGAATCGAACATGCTCGGTGATAATCTGAACGGGTTCGACGACAGATCCAAGGCTTCCAGGGTAGTTTCCTGCGCGCGGATCGCATCCAGAACCAGAGAAAGCGACCGATCCGTTAGACCACACCCACTCAGCTCAAGTCCGCGGAAGTGGCAAGCCCGCTCAACACCTGCCGCGACGAGGTAATCCAAATCTGTATCTCCAAGTTGTATTTTGTTCAATGCTATCCAATCGACATTGGTGGTCTGGTACTTGCACAGCGGAAACAGGGCTTCCACAATGCCGCAACCCTGATCTCTCGCACTGCCTCTAGATTCCCCGTGGTCTCTGGGTTTTCTTGAGATGCAGGAAGTAAAGTCCATTCTACGCAGCTTTCGGTTCGTCAAGGCAAGAGCGCGGATCTCTTGCACTAGTAGACAAGAGCGCTCCAGCTCTTCGATATCTAGCCGTGCATACGTGCCGCGTTTTGTCTTGAGGCAAAGGTGCTCAGCGCCGTTGGGATCTTTCAGTCCATTCAAGACATCCAATTTTACATCTTTAAATGAGATACCGCCAAAGGTCTCGTTGTAGCGCAAGGCACGCATGACCGCGAGCAGCTCGAGAGTATTATACTGGGCTCTGCGTAGTCCGACAGGTGGTAGGAGCTCGAATCGTGGCGCATCCTCGGCAGGGTAGGTAATCTGATAGCTGATGTTCTCTGGCTGTACATCGTAAGCAACGCAATATCCAATCAAGGTTCTGTCCAAAGAATCTTGGTCCATCGGATGTGGGCTTTCTTGTCGCGCGACGTCATGATACACCTCGTCTGGGACAAGGAAGTCAAAGGGTCGCGTCTCCCACTCAGGTCTGAGACTAGCTTCTATGGATCGCAGGCGAACAGCGATATCCCGCGAAGCTAATGATGCCAGATGGAGGACTTTGGGACGTTCAAGCGGCTTTCTGTGTGCTGTTAGCGGCATTCTCATAGCGCAGAAGGGTACCAACCGGAATGTTAACTGGAAGGTATCGTCGATTTCGGTCACGCATACTTCAGTCAGCGTTAGGATACCATGCGACGACTGGGTGTTGTGAGCGGCCAGTGATGGACTGGAAGACCGTTGTGAAGATGGTTTGAACAACGGAATAATGTGTACTTTGTGCACACCAATAGCAAGGAAACATACTGAAGCAGAAACTTTGGCAAGGTCATCAG